CAGAGCAGTTAACGTAAGTGCATTCGGTGAATTTCCACGTGTGTGTGTGTGTGTGGGGGGGAGGATGCTAGAGGGCATGCGTACTCATCAGAGACTAACAGACAGACAGATAGAGGGAGAGAGGGAGAGAAGAAAGCAATTCCCTCCCCCTTTTCCCCATGGAGAATGGTCACAGCGCAATCCCTTTTCTTCTGTCTCTTCCTCCCTTCAGGATTTTGAGTGTATACGAATGTGTCCAGCACGTTTCTCAAGCCACTGGGTCTGGGATTCTAACTACACAGTTGGCCATGTGAGATCTGGTAGCTTTAACCACCAGGCCATAGAGTTGGCCCAGTGAATTTCCATTTTTACCAGGGTAAGATTTGTGAAAATTTGGGTTAGGCTCATTATCATTTGGAAAAGAGTGATAGTACTGAATTCTTTTAGTTTCTTATCCCTGGACCCTTCAGGGAGAATTTTAGGAGCTTTAGGATGGTAGCATGAGAAGTATCGCGACAGCTTCCCACAGTTCTATTTGAACGTTATTTCCCGAGTAGTTCTGTGAGGCTAAGCTTCATTGTGTGTTTCAGCTGTGTGTTCCCCTGAAGCTCAGTGGTGTAGACAGCGATCACCTATTTGCTTAAGATTCTTTAATTTGGCCGTGACTCAGCAAGGACAGTGTGATCCTGTCCCATGTAGTGTTAACTTCCAAGATGGCTCACTAGCATGGCTGGCAAATTGGTCCTCAGCTGGGGAGGTCATTCAAGGGCACCTCAGCTGGCAGAGTTCCCAGGTTTTTCTCCATGTGGCCTCTCCATGTGGCCAGTCTGGGCTTTCTCACAGCAAGGCGGTCCAGGGTAGTCAGGTTTCATGCATTATGGCTCCTTCCCTCAGGGTACAAAAGCAGAAGCAGTCAGGCCTTTCTTAGGCTTGGTCCTGAGGCTAGCACAGCATCACTTCTGTCAGGGTAACAGGCAGCTCAGATTCCAGGGGAGGAGCCACACAAGGATGTGAGTACCAGGAGCTGTGATTCATGGGGGGTTGCTAATGGAATTGTCTTCCGGTTTGGTGCCCTGGTTCTCATGGCTGTCCTTTCCCTGATATCTACCTTGGCACCCCCCATTGCTCAAAGTTTTATAGGACCAGACTTTCACTTGGGAGAACTTCTAAGACTGAATTATTTGCTTCTAACTTTGTTCTCTTGGCAGCTACTAAATGCTTTGCTCCACCTTGCTGTCAGAACCATTGATTTTTCCCATGAAGGTTTTTTTTTTTTTTTAAATTTTAATTTATTCCTTCCTCCCATGAGAGAGATAGAAAGAGAGAGGAGAGAAAGAGAAAAGCACCCCCAACAGGGTCCTCATGCCACAATCTCCCTGTAGTCTTCGCCAGTCCAGATTATAGGTGTGTGCACACAGCTGATGTGCTCAAGGAAGTCAAGGATGTGAACCCAGGAACTTTCCAGATGAGTCCAGTCGAATCACTACTGTGCCACCACCTGCTCTAGCCCCCTGGATTCGTCTGGAGGCTGCCCACCAGACTGCCTGGGCCTTCCTGATTTCCAGGAGCCTGAATGTACCTAGGTATATGGAGCAGCATACCAAGGACTGTGGGGAATTGTGAAACATATACATGAATTACCTTCCCCAAACATTGATTTTACCTGAAAACGTAAGTTTAAAAATATTCTCATTTCAGAGCCAGTCAGGTAGCATGATGGTTAAAGACCTGGATCCCATATGACTGGCTGTGCGGTCTGAGTTCCAGATCTGGCAATTTGAAAAGCTGGGCATGTGTGTGTGCATACTTAACAGCCCAATAAAAGAGCAGAAGAGAAGGGATGGCTGTAAGGTCACCCCCGGGGTGTGGGTAGGTGTGCTTTGTCACTTTCTCTCTTTCTTTCTCTCTCTGTTTTTCTTTGGTGAGTAAATCACTCTGCGGGGGGAATGGCTGCACCACAATCCCTCCTCCGTTCTCCTCTAGGGATCTTAGGCACGCACGCACACATGCCTGGTGTGAGTTTCAAACTGCTAGGTCTGGGACTTGAATCACAGTTGACCATGTGGGAGTCCAGTGACATAACCATTTTGCCTCCTGCTGGTCCCTCAATCATTGTTTTTAATATAATGTGAAGGAATAAGATGTGGAGTTCTATTGGGTCGACAGAAAAGTCGTGATGTATTTTTTCTATACAAAAATGCATCATGACTTTTGTGATGGCCCAATACTAAACTTTTCAGATAGAACACATGAGGCTTCAAGGACATTTCAAGCTTAGTGTGCCTGCTTCACACTCTGCTGCAGATTCCTAGGCTATGAGTGTACTCTCCCAGGTCTGTTCTGCTTTTGGCACCAGAAATTTTCCTTTTAATCTTGCTGTCCTGCCATTCATCCAGATCTATTATAGATGAAGCCCCATTGTGGCCTTGACTTCTGTTGCTTGTCTCCGTCATCTTTCTTGTAATGGGAGAAAACTATTTGATGGAGGAGCAGGAAATATACTTTGTTTCTGTATCCTCTTTCTGGGACCTAAATCTTTTTTTGAAATGATTGATTTATTTAATTCCATGTATTGTAATTATTTTATTATTATTATTATTTTAAATTTGATCAGAGAGAGAGCGAGAAAAAGGGAAATTGAGAAAGTAAGCCTTCAGGTCCAAGACTTGAACCATGGCTGGCCATGTGGGAATCCAGCACCCCTAACTGCTATGCCACCTGCAGCCCCCTGGGACCTAAATCTTGTTCTAAATTCTGCTTGATTAAAGCCAGACTCTGGTACCTGCACTGTATACCTCCCCTGCCACTTGTTTTCCTGGCTTTTCAATACCATGGAATACTTGAGAGAATTACTGGAATGGCAGTCCACAGGCCTGGGATTTCCTCCTCTGTTGCTGTCCTTAGCATGGCCGAGTTAGTGCTGCTGGGAATTTCTGCAGCTCCTCATTTCTGATTCCTGGTCTTCTGTGAAGTCTCCAAGGCTGTGATGTCCCATAGGCTGAGTCACTGACTGCAGACTGTAGTCCTACTTCCCTGCTAGGGAAAGGGTGGTGCCCACAGGACTCAGTGGTGAATTTTAGGCAGGGATGCCAATAAGCTTTCTCTTTTCTGGGTGCAGAGGCTGGGGCCTTTAGCTCTAGACAAGCCAGAATGATGAAGCCTCCTCCTGAAGGACAGGCCAGGCAGCAGTGGACCACGGTATAATGACTGTCTGTGCCTATAGGAGATTACAGTTGTCATGAGGCTAATGCTGAGCTCCAATAAGCCTTGCAGTAACTACAGAGAAATAAGGTTGCTCTTTAATGTGTCTCAAATCTTAGCCTAACTAGACTCAATAGTATGTATGAGTATACATTTGTAGTTATTCATTTTTTTCTAATCTGTTTATTTTATTAAAATTTTAAATTATTTAAAAATTTACTAGAGGGTGGGACCAGCAGTTAGCATAATGGCTATGTCGCTGGACTCCCATGTAGTCGACCGCGGTTCGAGTAGTGGACCCGTTGGGTTAAAGCTCACGCGGGGCGTATATGTGTGCGTGCCCAAGATCCCGAGAGGAGAACAGAGGAGAAGGGATTGTGGCGTGGCCATGCCCCCCAGGGGGGTGATTTCTCACTTTCTATCTCTCTGTCTCTCTCTGTCTGTTGGGTTAGCGCACGCGCCCTATAACAAAAACCTCTCAAAAAAAATTTACTAGAGGGCACATGTACTTGTGAGATGGGGGGGATTGAGAATGTCCCCTCCCCCAACATGGAGGATGGCTACAGTAGAATCCCTTCTCCATTTCTCCTTCCAGAATTTTGGGCATGCAGGCACATGCACTATACTCACGACATGTGTAAGAGATCTCTTGAAGGTATTCCTCCTGTCTAACTGGAATTTTGTATCCTTCCAGTATATCCCAATCCTTCCATTCCCTCACCCTCTTCTACTAGCTCCTGGTAGCCACCATTCTGTTCTCTGCTTCTTTTAATTTGCTGTTTTTAGATTCTATGTATGAGTGATATTATGTGGTGTTCTATAATGGTTAAATCCTGTCCCATCTTCACTGAGTCGTAGAGGAGAATACTAGTCTTCTTTGAGAGTTGAGTTGTCAAAGCCCAGCTTAGCCAGTCTCTTGAAGGAATGTAGAATGTTTGACTTATCTGAGACCCTCAGCACTTTTGATGTTCTGACTAAGTTTTTTTTTTTGAGAGATTTTCATTGTAGGGCGCGTGCGCTCGCCAGACAGACAGAGAGAGACATAGAGACAGAAAGCGAGAAATCACCCCCCAGGGGGGATGGTCATGCCGCAATCCCTTCTCCTCCATTCTCCTCTCGGGATCTTGGGCACGCACTCACACGCGCCCGGCATGAGTTTTAAGCCACCGGGTCCAGGACACGAACCGCGGTCGACTATGTGGGAGTCCAGCGACATAGCCATTACGCTAACTGCTGGTTCCCCTGACTAAGTTTTCAAGCCCCTAGAACTTCTTTCCAAGAGGTTCATAAAGCTGGAGAGTCACAATTAAGGAAACTGAAATATCTTAAACCTTCTTTTCTTATCTGTAGTCCTTCCCTTCTGGATGGGTAGCTTCAGAGCCTGGTCCAGCCAAGCCATTTTTCAGTGAGCAGAGGCTTTGGTGTTCCTTGCAAACTCTGTTGGAGTGCTCCTGCATGCAGCATCAGTCTCACCTCAAGGCCATAAGCTGGGTGCTATGGAGCTAGGGCATGCAACACTGATATGACCTTGATGACTGAGAGACCAGCAGAACTGGATTCAAGCCCACTACAGTTCAAGAGGAACCCTCATGCATACCTGAGTGCTTTTCTCACTAATCTTTCATGGGAATGTATATTTTGAGTTCTTTTGAGAGAGAGCCAGAAGTTCACCTGCCACTTGGAACAGATTTGAGCAGAGCTAATTATTGCCTTTAGTAACTGCTGAGGAATTAGTGTTAGGTGGGGTTGCTTATTAACCCCACATGCTGATGTGCACCATTCTCTGAGGCGCTATCTGGGAGGAACCATGCGAGGTTCTGAAGTGAACCCAAGATACAGGTATGGTTTCATACTTTCAAGGGTCAGTATATTGTAAGAGGGAAGGTTATACTGCCAGACAAACTGGTTTGAAGCAGCAGTTCTTCCATGCATTAGGTGTGTATCCTTGCAGAGGTGACATAATCTCAGGGGAAATCAGTTTTCTTAGTCAATAAGCATGAGGTAACAATAGTACTTACCATAAGGGATGGTGGGTGGGCTCAGTGACATAATGTGTCTGTCATGTAGTAAACCCTCCATAATCCTGAAATAATAACAATGCTAGCCTATGGGCTTGTGTGTGCGTGTGTGTGTGCATGTGTGTGTGCGTGTGTGTGTGTGTGCACGTGTGTGACAATATAAGTTCTGGTACCATATTCAGCACATTACATGTTTTACATACAAAAAGGCTATGTTGCTATCTCCAGGCAAATGTTAGCTAATAGAGGAGGAAATGGAAACTTTTGCCTGAATCCAAAGCCTATGTTCTTATTCTTGGCCTCAAAGAGGTATCTCTATGTCCTAGTATTTCAATCCCATCAAACTGGCTATAGAAATCTTTGAGAGTAAAGACAGTATCATGATTGGCCTTACCTATTACTCTTACCTATTCATTCACCAACTCCGACTTGGAGGAAACCTTTACTTAGTAAGTTTAGCTCTACTCCAGACTACTATATGCAAGGAAAGTATAACTAGCTACAAGCCGAGAGGCGTCTTGCTGATGACTCCATTTTTTGTGGAGTCCTCTTTTTGTGCTGTAGTTGTTAAAGCCCCTTTTTGGGACTGATCAATGGAATCCCTTCTTATTTCCTTCTGTTCTACATTGTATTCTATGCTGTGGCCCAGTTCTTCAAAAGTCATTCTTCATTGACTGCTAATCCTTGAAACTTACTGTCTGATGACTTACCTGTCTAGACATCAATCTATTCTTGGTCAGAACACCTGATAGTCTGCCCAGCATTCCTCCTATGCCATAGAAAATGGGGCCTTCTAGATTAGCTTCTCAAACTGAATGAAACTTTCCATTCATTTTTTCATTGATTATTATTTAGTGAACATCATGATAAGTCCTTGCACATGATACCTCAAGATAGTCAAAGGTCCTTTAACCACCTGCCCTTTTAGAACCACCTCTTTACTTAAATAAGTTCACATTCTACTAGTTCCTGGTTCTGCCACAACTTTATTCTTGTTTTCTGCATATTTCTTGGACATTCAATAATCTTACAGTAGAACATTCTCAGATGGTTGATACCTGTTGCCCTTGGAAATTTGAGCTCTGAGTGTGTCTCTTATTATTGGTTCCCTCAGAGAAGAGAAATGGAGGCAAATAAAGGAGCTACACTTAATAGTATGTTATATTAAGGTAAAGAACGATTCTCCTGGGACCAGCTGTTAGCGTAATGGCTATATCGCTGAACTCCCATGTAGCCGACCACGGTTCGAGTCCCGGACCTGGTGGCTTAAACTCACTCCAGGCGTGCGTGTGTGCATGCCCAAGATCCCAAGAGGAGAATGGAGGAGAAGGGATTGTGGTGTGGCCATCCCCCCGGGGGGTGTGTGTGATATCTCGCTTACTATCTCTCTGTCTTCCTGGCACAGGCACGTGTCCTATAGCAAAAAAAGCTCTCAAAAAAAAAAAAAAAAAGAATGATTCTCCTGTTTCTTGCTTGTTCTGCTCACAAGCTTAAAGGCAAAGGAGCACTTTAGTGGGAAGTGTTTATCACAGAGCAGTTTCAAGGAATAGCGCCCCTATTACTTTGGTTCACAAGGGTCGCTATTAGTACACAGGAAAAAAATCACTGGAGATATACTCTTTTGTTGACATCGGGCCCTAATAAGATCTTGTTAGACTTTCTTTTTTTATTTTTAATTTTATTTATGTATTTTAATTTTGATGAGGGAGAGAAAGAGAGGGAAAGCGAGAAAGCAAGCCGCCAGGTCCAAGATGGTAACCACAGTTGGCCATGTGGGAGTCCAGTGCCCCTAACTACCATGTCACCTGCTGGGCCCCTGTTCAACTTTCAATAAGAATTCTCCATGAGACTATTTCTAAATTCACTTTTTTATTTAACAGTGTCATAGCAGAGCTCCAAAAGATAAATTTTATCTTTGCATAAGTTGCTGTGCCCTTGGAGTGACAAACCAGGTAGTTAAGTTGATTAATGGAGGGTATGTTTATTTGCCACATTGAATAAAATGAAGTCAGAGGGGTCAATAGGTGAACTCTTTGTGTAGGCCAGTGTTATCACCCCTATTAAAACATTAACACTATCCATTCCCTGACTGCCTCACTGATCAATTCTTTTTCAATATTAATTTAGTTTTCAGACCAGGCTCTTTCCCAAAGCTTGTCCAGGCAAACAAAATAAATCACAGGTGGCAATCCGATGATGATCAAGTTTAGTGTTAACTTTCTTGCAACACTCTAAGTGGTGTCTAAAGGGGAAAATGTTCTTAATAGGAAAAGAGAAGTTCGATGAAGAACACATCAAGCCATTCTATTTTTCCAGTTTGAGAAATCAGAGCATTGTTAAATCTCACTCAATTTACATTATCTCCACGAGTTTGTACAGTCAATGAATGAGCAAAGTTCTCTTCAACTGCAAAATCTCAAGGTTCACAGATTATCCAAACACCATTTCTTTTCTTGCCTGGCTACATCCTTCCACCTTTGTCACGGTAATTTACACTTCCCTCCTAGTGGAACTGGGTTTTCTATTATGTGGGAGGGCCAGAGGCTGGAGGTATGTTGAGGGGGGGGTCACAAAAGGGGATACAAGTAAAGAATCATTGAGTCAGTTTTTCTATATTTAGCCATAAGGGCTCATCCAGTTGGGAAGGTAGTGATGATTAATGAAAGGCATCAAGTCGAAGTGCCTCCTCTCTCCCTCTCCCTTTCGCTTTCCTTCTCTTTCTCCCTCCCCCTTTCTTTGGCAGCACAGGCCCTCACCACCACCGACTTTAGTGGTCAGTTGGCTGCTCTCTGTGGATAAGGCTGGAGACCTCCGTATCCCCTGTCTCTCTGCTTACTACTGTCCCTCTCCTAACCCTCTTCATTCACCTGCCTTGCCCCACTCCTGGACACTGTGAGGTCATGAACTGTTAGTCTGCATGCTAGAACCCTGGCAAGGTTCTGTTAGGCCAACTCAGAACTTTTAGGAGCCTAGAAAGTGAGATGCTCAGGATGGAGATGCTTCCAGCTCTGTGGGCATCTCTAGCAGATGCTGCTGAGCCCGCCCATATGCCTCGCACTTCTCAGAGTGTTCCAGCCCACTTCCAACTGCGAATGTCTCCATCTATGTACCTGAAGGCATTTTTTCCAGAACCGTGTAGGTTGCTCTGGACATTTACATGCTAATATGCTTATTTTGGGGATAGTCAAGGTGTTTGAATGTTCTGTTTTTAACTTCTCCCTTTGCTTGGATTTTCTAGCAAAACCTATTTTCAAATGGGTTGTTTTGAACACAACATGGCATCTAATGGGAATAAATAAAATCTTTAATGACTTCCAAATTTATGTCTCCAACTTTAATTTCTTTTTCATTTCCAGATGAATATACTTAATTGCCTTGGATTTCCATTTAGATTTGTAATTGGTATCAGAAACATATTATTATTATTATTATTTTGAGAGATTTTTGCTGTAGGGTGTGTGTGCTCACTGGAGAGACAGACACAGAGAGACGGAAAGTGAGAAATCACCCCCGGGGGAGGCGGATAGCCACACTGCAATCCCTTCTCCTCCATTCTCCTCTCAGGACTTTGGGCATGCATGCACATGCACTTGGTGTGAGTTTCAAGCTGCCGGGTCCAAGACTCAAACCACAGTTGATCAACTGGGAGTCCAGCATCTTAACCACTACATCACCCACTGGCTGCAAGAACATATTTTGATGTTTTCTCTCCAAAGCTGCCCCTTTCCCTTGCACCCGCATGCCCCATTGCATTAAAGAGTACATTTACATTTCATTAGGTTTTTCAGATCCCAAACCTAGGACTCACCCTTGATCTTTCTCTCTCTCACATGTTCATCACATGACAATCTGTTGGTTTACTTTGAAAATATTTATCAAATATGATCACTTCTCATTGCCTCCACTGCTATCACTGTAGTTCAAGACACCACCAACCATCTCCTCCCTGGACTATTGCAGACTCGTAAGTTTCTAGGCTTGTCCCGCCTTCAGTAAAATGCTGAAGTGATGCTACCACTTCTTTGCACAAAACCCTTGAATGGTTTCCTGTTAAATGGAGAACAATGTTTACCAGGTCTTATTATTTCTTAATGCCTGAGGACGTGTGCAAGGGAGAGAGAGCCCCCCAATAGGGTTTAAGAAGACTGCAATCCCTTTTTCTCTAATCTTCTTGTACTGGAACTCAAACCTTGATTGGCTGTGTGAGATTTGGCTTCTTCTGATACAGCACATAAGTGCTACACTAGGAGGTAGTCTACCTTATTTATGTTATTTTTTATTTTGTTATTGCTAGAGGGACATGCATGAAAGGGGTTGGGGGGAAGGGAAGAGAAAGTACCTTCAATGTGGTGTGGTCATGCCACAATTCTTCATTTCTGCATCTCATCAGGATTTTGAGCATACACATGCACATACGCCTGATGTGTTTTTCAAATCATTGCCAGGACCAGGATTCAAATTATAGCCAGTCATATAGGATCTGATTCTGGTTCCCTTCACACAGGACTTAACCACTGTTCTGTGAGCTGGCCCATACTAATGATTTTTTTTAAAAATTGTTGCTATAGGGTGTGTGAGCTTGGGAGAGAGAGAGGAGGCACCTACCGTGGGGAATGGCCACATCACGGTCTCTTCTCTATTCTCCCTTTGGGATTTTGGGTATGCACGCACATGCACCCAGCATATTTTTCA